CCAACTCCCTCGTTCTCCCCTCCTTACTTCCATCCCGCCCTTTTCCCCCGCATCGACCCCCACAGGATTTCATGATCCAGGGCGGCGATTTCACAGCCGGCGACGGGACAGGAGGAGAGTCCATTTACGGGCAAAAATTCAAGGACGAAAATTTCAAGCTCAAACATACGGTGCGACCCTGAGTCTTTCTCCATTCTTTCTCCCGGGATATCCATCATATCTGCATGACGTGCTCTTTTTTATGCGATACAAGGGTAGTCTGCTTTTTTCGTCTTCGTTCGAGCTCAGCTCGACGCTAGCGTAATCAAGTGCACACGAGGGCTTATCCCCTTACAGATTTATTATCCGATTCTACTTTTAATCGTCCCCTTCCCTTTCCTTCTTCCCTCCAGGAGCCCGGCCTCCTTTCTATGGCCAACGCGGGCCCCAATACGAATGGGTCTCAATTTTTTATTACTACCAAAGATACACCCCATTTAGACGGTCGCCATGTTGTCTTTGGAAAGGTAAGAAACGGGGAGGAAAGCGTGATTGATGGAGCCTGACGTGTTTGAAGACGGTTCGCTGTTGGGATGTAAAAGCGCAAGATACGTGGGGGGTTCAGTTAAGATTCGCCTGTCCTCTAAAGAGACCTGATCCGAAGGGAAAAAGGAGGATTATTGAGTGAAAACGGAGCCCATTTTGTTTTCTCACACCTCTTCTACTCTGTCAGGTGATTGAGGGGATGGAAATCGTCCGCCGCATCGAGGAGCTGCCCAAAGATGAAAAAGATCGACCGTTGGAACCCGTGGTGATAGAATCGTGCGGAGAGCTCAACGAGTGAGAGGGAGTCGGGCCGGGCGGCAACTGGTGGTGGAGAGACTGAGGATACCGAGCAGGCATATTATGAAGGCGAACGATTAGAAGTTGGAGGGCAATTTCGGGCTGGAGGGAGGGGGTTAGATCAGGGGTGTTCTGGAAGAAATATTGAGAAGGTTATCGCCTTGTTAGACTTTCGGAAAAGGGAGGAAGAGAGGAAAAAATGATGGGGAGATAGGAGGAGAAAGAAAGGCGGAGATGGAGCCCTGACCAGTAAAGGAGAAAAGAGGAGGAAAGATAACGAATACGTAGTTGAGATGGTGAAGGCCTCTAGTAACCCGAGCAAAAATAATTTGATAGAAGGAGAAGGTCTCTAGATTCTCCAAATGCGTACTCAGAACGCACTGAATGCAGAACTTGAATTTCCCAATGATATTCTGGATCTCGCGGGAAGATCGAGCTCAAGCGTGTCTTAGAATCAAATTGCAGCTGGTTATAGTTTCTTTCTCCGTGTGAGTGTGCGAAGATCGGAAAGAGGCAAGATACCCTGGGGTATCACTCCTCATCGTCATCTCTGTCTCACAAATGTCTTGCATCTTATACTGTGTACAGCTTGATATCTAGTCAGTGCACATCCTTACCTTTCTCGATCCAAAGAGGAGAGTCGCAATCAGCATTTCCCTTCATGTCCAAGCCCGCGATAGTCTGGGCTACACCGCTGCTTAAGTATCCGAAGCGTTTCCAACGGAGGTCAATGACTAATTTCGTCTCGGTGAGATGATGTAGGGTCGCTCTTTCTTTCAAAACACTGCACATGAATAACATAAGAGAACACTTGTGCTTCTTTGTGAATAAGATAAGAAAACAATTGTGCTTCTTTGTTCTGTGATAAGTATTAGAAATCATGTTTTAGTTGTTTTATTCCAACTGCACAATCTCGTGCCCCTCGCAACAATTGCCCTCCCCTGTTTCCCTCCCGCCTGCAGTTCCTGACTGCCACCCATTTTTTAATTTCAGAAGCCAGTGGATCAAATTTATTAGCCTGTGAGCGACAAACATTTCCAATTTCTCACCAGTTCGCACCCTCGACCTACACAACCATCGCATCCAAGGCTGCCTCATCCTCCTCCTCCCCCGCCTTCTCCCCCAACGCCACCTCATGAAGTGCTTTGCCCACCCCGTTCCAATTTTCCTCCTTCGGTGACCCCTTCAGCACTGTGACTGGTCGTTTCTCTTCGCTTCCGTCGTCTTTCTCCTCCATGGGCTGGTGCGCCGCAGCTTGAGCTTGGAGGTCCATGCGGGCACGAGCCTTTTCCAGAATTTTCTTCTCCTCGTCCGGATCTAGGCCTGGTAGCACAACAGTTGGGAAAAGCACACACAGATGAAAGGGGCAAGAAGAGGAACGGAGGATAAAGAGGGTGAAACGATAAGATCTTCAGCGAGATATTTGGCATGACCTCAGGGCAGCAAGCTCCTCTTTAGATCTGGCAATTTTCGTGGTGCTTATTTTCGCACGCAAGGTCTTCACCATCAATAGCAACTTATAAAAGGAGGTCGGATTTCTGCAAGTTTGCACACACGCACCTTCGATGGTAAAAACGGCACACAGGCGGGGAGGTTTGAAGATCTTGGCCTTAAACATGACCGTTGGGGGCACATTGCATATCGCGTAGGAGGGGTTCAGGTGGAAATCCTCGAATTCTCGGGGCATGCCTGAGGGAGGATGGAGTGGGATGGGGAGGAGGGGGGACGAAACGAAGAAGAGTCAAGGGCAATTTCTTAGCAGTCAGTCCACTAGTCCATGCCGACAGCGATCGGGATTCAGAGGTGATCTTATGCCTTCCTTGGCCATACCCAATGGTGTTCCAGGAGAGTAAGGCACGGGCTGGAAAAGTTGCCCTGTAAAACGCGCGCTTGTGCATTTGGCTTGCTTGCAGACTTCCTTCTTCATGTCCTACTCGTCCGAGGCAGACAAAATTGAGAAAAGAAGAGGAATGAGGAAAGTCATTTTAAAATGTTCGTATCATGTTGTGAAACGACAAGAACACTGAGCAATTAGGCAACACAAATCTCTCCCCGAGGAAGTAGTATCGCGTCCTCCATTTCTCTTCCTCCTTCTTACGGTTCACAGCCCGGCCTGGGCTCTCTTTCTCTCTGCGCAGAAATACCCCTTTTATGGCACTAATGCATGTCTGCTTACCTCGCATTCCATGTATCCAACGAGGACACCTTCCGACTCGGGAGACAGCGTGAAAGCCCCGTCAAATGTTTCAACGCCCCTCAACCCCCCAAACAAAGTGCTTGAAGAAGCAGGGGGTTTCGATGCAATTGCAGGCATGGGGACAACGAAGGCATTGGATACAGAGAGTACAGTCGCCACGAGCAATAGGTCATAAAGGCGGGTAAGAGAAGACTGCATCCGCATGAGTCCTGCAGACAAGGGAGAGGAAGAGAATGGAAAGGTTGACGTTGAAGCAGCAGCAATTTCGACGGGAAGAAGAAAGAGAAAGCAAGCAAGCCAAAAAAAATCAAAGAAAGGACTCAACAAACTATCCAAGACTGCTCACCGACGACTTGGAAACAATGATACATATGTCATCTACAACGATTCACAAGAACGACCAAAGCCAAGGCCTGGGGTTCATACGGAGCAGTCGGTTCATCGGATACGAACCAAAAACACGGTCAGAAAGTAACAAAAAGTTCAAAGCAACGAGCGATGCGCCCTGCAATCCAAGCGATAGCCCACCACCACCGGCAAATGTGAATGCAAAGAGGGCAGTTTGAAGGGAATTTACTACCGTTTTATACGAAAGGTGTTCAGTAGAAAGAAAATGCTTCTTTGGCAGTTGTTAAAACTGTCCAGCAGTTTTCTGATATCTTAGCATTTCCTCTACAAAGATAGTTTGTCTAGGGGATAACTCAGTCCCTTCAGAAATGTGCTTCCTGTACAACCAATTTTGGCCATTTTAACGAGATGAACAAAAAAGCTGTTGGATCAAAAACGTGGATAAGACAAAGGGATAACAGTTGACGCCTCAAATCGTGCTGAATGATCCTCAATTGATGAGGAAGTGCTCATCTCGTGTTCACGCCATCGTGTCCCGTTCACGTTTTCCATACATTGCTTCTGTCTGCGAGCTTACTTAAAAGTAAGTGCCATTTTTGTACATTCTTCTTGTTTCCATGTTGTTCGTATTTAGCTTTCCCATAAAAATTGGTTTCTAAGACTGAATCATTCATCCCGATCGCGCTCGATCCGTTCTCAGTCTCTGAATTTTGTGACCTCTTCACTTTTTCATTCAGATAAACTTTATCAAATATTTCGTTTTCTTTACTACAATTACCAAAATTATTGAGCATTTTAAAACCGGGGCCTGTTGAAACATGAAGTGGACTAGCGGGTCTACAATGTAATTGGGAGGCGTGCAAGAGCAGGCTCCGCTGCTAGATACATTCTATATCGTCCGAACCGCATTTGCGGTCAAACATCCCATAAATACATCTTTTCTTCCAATGCGCAAGGTGGAAGCATCGCCTTCAGGACTCCCTCCACAGTACGCAAATATCGCCCTGATTACCGGACACCTGTATACCATGTCAAACGCCGGTCTGATAGTTTGACGTCAAAGAGATAAATACGACTGTGGTTTCACAACAGCATTTTTCAATTTGAGCTTTATCACTATTTGCGAACCTGATGAGCAAAGAAATTTTGACACTCCAGGCACAAGGCAAACGATACCACGCAAATACAGATATGGTGGAGAGCACCGGGAGGACGGGAGGACGGAGAAGCAGCTAGAAAAGAGAGAAAATAATGAAGGCGGTATCATGAAAGGTGTATGGTTAAGAATAATCAAATCGAATCAGCAGTCGGAAAACAGAAGATAGGGATTGAAGATCTTACGAGGCAGCGCATTTGTTCGATGCGATAAGCAGTCTCCACTTCGCGACAAGTTCATAACATACCCGGATATACCTTTCCTGTTCCGCGCCGCAGTACAAGGTACAGACACTCGACCGCTTTAACGACTGACCATAGGAAAGAAGTTCGTCGTAGCCCCAAATATGGTGCACGCATGAAGTTATTGTCTCCGAACTCCTCGGCTAAAGAAAAAAAATGTCAAAGGGTTGTGAAATGAAAGTTTTGTCCGGCCGTCCTTTTTGCATCATGCTTGTGAGGAAAGGGTGTGGTGCCGAGCGGCTTGAGCACTCACTGAAGGATAACCCACCATATCGCCTGGCAATGCACAAGACCATGTTGCCGTGTTCTACGAACATATTTGCGTGCATGAATCCCGTTCCAGGAACAACGGTTTCTTGTGTGACAGTGGAAATAGCGTGAGGTTTTAGGAAGAAATCCATGAGCGGCCCTCCCTTCTTCTCAGTGCCAAAAAATAATGGAAAGCTTTGTTGGACAAGTCGTATTTTTGTCTTGTCATGACAGCGTTGGTACAATGTATTTGTTAAAATGAGAAATGTATCTTAATGCTGGCACAAGCGCGATTTCCGCAGGTCTCCTTATCATATGAGTTACTGCACTTGTCAACGTACCCTTGGCTGGTATTTCACTTACTGATTTCTGTTCCAAATCATGAATTTATCATATCTACCATAGAGTTCTTAGCATTATGGGGCCCAAAAAAGGGACCACCGGTCCTGCAGCGGTGAGATTTATTTATGTTTTTATCCTTTGGTGCTATCTTCCCCACGTGCCGTTGTCGACCTCCCCTCACCCGTACCCTCCTCCGCTTCATCTCCACGAGCAGGCGAAAACGGAGGACGAGGACTTGGACGCCCTCCTTACGCAATATAAGGTACGAGCATGAAGCTACCGTGCGTGTTGTTGGGTTTTCTTGCCGCTGTAGTTCACAAAATGGTATGGCACGCTTCTCGCGGATGACCACAGGCGGAAGTCGGCATCAAGGAAGGTGAAGACGCTGCAGCGGCGAAAGAGGAGGAGGAAAGCGACGATGAAGAAACAGCTGGGAGAGGAAAGGAAGAAGGGGAAAAAAAAGAAGACAAAAAGAAGAAGAAGAAGAAGAAGAAGCCCGCGGAAAAGAAGGAAGCGGCGGTAGCCGACGCCAAAGCTGCGGCGGGAGGGAAGATGTCTGCACAGGCCAAGATGATCCTGGCAAGACAGAAAGCGTTACAGGTAACGTGACACGAGAAGGATCGATTGCATCGGAATCATGGAAGAGAGAATGAGAGAGGCAGGGATGGGTTGAGTGATTAGGAAGGAAAGCCGAGGAGGAGGTAGATTCCTCTCCAGATGTGTTACTCACCTGCATGCCCACATCTTTTTATTCCTGTTTGTTATCCTTTTCTGGGTAGGAGGAAGAGGAGCGGCTTCAACAGCAACGAGAAGAAGAGGAAAAGAAGATCGCCGCGGAGAGGGCAGCGGAGGAGGCGGAGTTGGCGGCCAAGGAGGAAGAGAAACGGTCAGTGCCGGAGAAGAGCGGAGGACCTTTTTGGCTTTCTCCGCTTCTTTCTAGCGTTTCCACCCCTTGTGGTCGCTTCCCCTTGTCACCATGCGGCTCCTTTGCCTCGTGCAGCACGAGGGGGCCGTAGTCAGAGAGTCAAAGTTTCTGCCCTTCCCTCCTCACGACCTCCCTCTCCTCTCCACCCTCGTCGTAATCCGTTTCTGACGGGGTATCTCTCATTCCCCCCCCCCTTCCGTTTTGGTTCGTCCAGTTTGAAAAAGGAGAAAGCACGCGCCAAGATGGAAAAGCAGAAGGCAGAGGGTACCTACATGACCAAAGCCCAACGTGAAAAGGCCATGCGGTACGCCCGCCCCTTCCTCCCTCCCTTCCTCCCTCCCTTCCTCCTTCCTTTGCTTCCTCCCGTCCTACCGTTCCTTCTCCACAGCAACGCCATTCTCACCCTTTCAATTGATTCCTCCCGGTCACATTTCTATTCACGTCTTTTCCTCTTCTCCCCGCTTCCCCTCGTCCCCTCCTTCCCTCCCTCCTTCCCTCCCTCCCTCCACCCGACTTCGTTTCTCAGCGCAAGAATCGCCCTCGAGCAAATGAAGGCGGCAGGAATGATCGCGGAGGGAGTGGGGGAGGGAGGGGCGGAGGGAGGGGGGAAACCCAAACGTCCTGTGTACGGGAAGAAGAAAAAGAAGCCACAGCCGGTAAGGCGACTCTTCTTTCCGCCCCCCTCCCTTCGTCCCTTTTGTCCTCCTCTCCTCCCTTCTTGTCGCCCGCCGCGACCCCTCTCACCATCCCTCGCAGCTGGTTCCTGACTGAATCTCTCCCTCCCTTCATCCCTCACTCCCTTTCTCTCTCGCTCAGCCCCCCCCTCCCCCTCCGGAGACTGCACAAGAAGCACCGCGCCAGGTCCCGGCCTCAGCTGTCAAGGAGCACGGCGGGGAGGAGGAAATGGAAGAAGGCGTGGGGGAGGGAAGGGAGGAAGCGCCAGCAGTGGACGAGGACGTGCCGGAGGACTGGGAGAGCGGGCCCGTGGAGGCCCTGGCGGTGAGTG